GAAACCACCAGGAGGAGAAAGATGGAGCTCGCTACTCCCTTAAAGAGGTATGGTCTTGGAAAGCCACGAGGCTATTCTACATCGTGCTATGATCGCAACAGACTCAAGGTTTGGAAGGACAAGTTTAAGGGGCCCAGGAAGCATAGTAAGTTATGTGTTGGGCTGCTAACCACAAGGTCAGTGGTTCAAACCCACCAACCGCTCCATGGGAGAAAGACGAGGTTTTCCACTTCCATAAACATCGAGGGCCTTGGAAATCCACAGGGGGCAGTTCTACCTTGCTGTGACTGAGAAGGTACTCACCAGGAAGGACTTGTGTGACAGGTTTCCCTGGGGTGGAGGGCCTCACAGAAGCCTTTCATTTTGCACTTGGCAGCATTGAAACCTGGGAGAGATGTCACAGGGGAAATCGGAGTCCTCGGCACTATTCAATCCCCATTCCTGCAGAGGGGCCACTAGGAGAAGCCAATAGTCTGTACCCCTAAAGATGGGCATAACTCAACACCCCTCGTGCCCCTGAGGGTTTCAGTGGCTGATTTCTTGACCACAGGCCTTCCTTCAGCGGAGCACCCAGTGTCACTCACAACCCCTTGGCGAGCCTCCAATCTTCTGGTCCGCAGTTGAGCATGTGAACCCTGGGCACCCCCGGGGACTCCCTGCTAGGCACAGCCTCTGCAAGTTACCACAGTCTCGGCCACTCGGGCTTCTCCTGGCCTCGCCTGGCCTGGCCTGACCCAGCCCTGGGGCTCAGCTGCTCCTGGTCTGTCCACTCCGGACAGTTAGACCGTCTCCTCTTGTCCCCTCCCAGGTGTGTCTGCTTCCCTGCTAATTAAGTTAAAAACCACAGCCTTTTGAGCGCCGTTAAGTCGATTCCAACTCACGGTGACCCGGTAGGACGGGGTAGAACTGCCCTTGTGAGTTTCCAAGACTGGGACCCTTTACAGGAGTAGAAAGCCTCCTCCTCCCATGGAGTGACGGATGATTTTGAACTGCTGACTTGGAGGTTAGCAGCCCAACCACATAACCCACTCTGCCTGCCGCCAGGACTCTGAGTCGACCTCAGACCCCAAACCAAACTCACTGCCATTGAGCCCATGACGACTCCAGGACGGGGTCGAGCTGCTCCGGTGGGTTTCTGAGCCTGTAGCTCTTTACGGGAACAGAAAGCCTCCTCTTCCTCCCTTGGAGCAGCTGGTGGTCTCGAACTGCTGCCTTGCACTTCGCAGCCCAAAACAAGTAACCACTTTGCCACCAGGGCTCCTGGTTAGGTCCAAATCCCTGCTGTAAGTCTCGGGACCTTGGCAAGCCCTCCAGTGGCTGAGCCTCATCTTATCAGAGATACGGGGTCCTATATGGGGTTGTGGTGTGGGCTAAGGCGATGTGGGTGCAGTTCTTCGCCCTGGGCCTAGCATGGGCTGAGCCCTGAGTCTTGTCCCCGTCAATCAGGCCCCCAAGTCAGCGGAGATGCGTGTTTGCTGGGTGAAGGAAGGAAGGAGGGGAGAGGACAGGCCCTGGGGGTCAGATGAAGTGGCCCAGTGAGACTTCAGGAGGGTCCTGTTCTTGGAGCCAGGAAGAAGCCCCCCACCCGCACCCTCAAAGGAGGCGCGGTGTGGCCTGGGAGCCAGCAGCTTCACTCAGGGGTCCAACTAGCCGCCAGGGTCTTCGGGCGTTCCCTTGGTGCCACCTTCTGGCTGATGCGAGCCTCACACCCACCCCTCCGTCACACAGGCCAGGGCGGACCCACAGCCAGTTTATCTTCTGCACCATTTTAAAAACTGGCCAGGCCCTGAGAAATCAGAAGCCACAGCTTTTCATCACACATCCGAGGATACCCAAACCCAGAAGCAGAGAGAAACTTGTCCAAGGTCGGGCAGAAAGTCCTTGGCCAAACTCCAAGGACTTGCTACACTCCAGAACTGCCTAGCACCCAACCCCTCCCCTTCATCAGGGGTGCGAGGATACACAATGCTGCACCTTTTAATCCGTGAACTCCGGGGATTCTCAGGGGAACCCCCTACACACACACACACACACACACACACACACACACACACACACACATGTGCACTCACACCAAACCCTGGGTCCAGGAATGAATGCAGGTGCTTTATTTGGGAGTTAATTCCAGGATGTGCCGGTCAGCAGGAACGCTGGGAAGTGAGACAATGAAGAGGAAACAAAACAGGGACCTTGTAGGCAAGCTAGGAGCCCTGGTGGTGCCGTGGTGAAGTTTGGGACTGTAAACCACAGGGTCGGCAGTTCGAAACCAGGGAGAAAGGCTGGGCTTTAAAAACTGTCCACAGTTACCATCTTAGAAACCCCCAGAGGGGTCACTATGAGTCAGCATTGACTGGACGGCAATGAGCTTGGGCGTTTGGGTTTGGAGCAGGCAAACCAGCACTGTGAGCAACGGGGGCTCCGTCTCTCTTTAGGACTCTAAGCTGATTCCAGCTCCCAGCAACCCAGAGGACAGGGTAGAACTGCCCGTGTGTTTCAGAGGCTGTGAATCAGTGTTTCCCAAAGTGGGTCGTACTGGCAGATACCTACATTTTATCCTGGATTATGGGCTATTGTGCCCCCCCCAAAAAAATATTGCCAGGGCGTGCTGAGTAACCTTTTTCTGAAAAGTGGGTGGTAGGCCAAATCAGTTTGGGAACCTTTGCGGTTCATCTTTACTGGAGCAGCGAGCCTCCTCTTTCTCCAGCCGAGCAGCTAGTAGTTTCCAACAGCTAGCCTTAGGAATTAGCTGCCCGACTCATAGCACAATATGCCACCAGGGCTCCTTCCTCAGGACCCCAGGAGTTGGTATAAACCACACTTTGTGACTGTCCGCCCCAAAGACAAAGAATCAGGAGTGTTTACACACAGACTCTCACTCGTGGTTGACAGAACTCCAGGACATGAACAGCTGACCTGGCCCACACTTATGCCAGGCAAGTTTGCAAGATGAGGGAAAGCCCTTGGGCAAGTGGCAACGGGAAGCCGGTGGCTTATGTAGAAACATGCATGCCGGGAGCAGTAGCTTGTGTGGTCCTGGACCAGTAGCAGGCAGTATCCCCTGGGAAATGCAAGTCCTTGAGTTCCATCCCAGACCTCTAGCACCCTCAGGAATGCTGGGGCTGGGGCTCAGCCACCTGTGGCCTAACAAACCCCCGAGTGATCCAGATGCACACTCAAGTGTGAGAACTTCTGACCAGGAGGTAAAGAAACTAACCAAACCAGGGCTCTGAGCCAATTGAAGCCAGTTCGGTTGTGGCTGACATACCAATATGGCAACAGACCCAAATCTGTAAAATGTGGGTGTACCAGAATGTTCACTGGACCCAGAAAAATGTTCACTGGACCCAGAAGCTCCGGAATGGGTGGCTCAGGTGAAACCCGGGGCGTGTGTTGCAGGAGATGGGGTTCTAGCCAGGACTGTGGAGAGCCACACACACTCAAAGCTGCAAGGCTGGCCATCTTTGAGCCAGGCTCTGCTGTTCCTGACACTGCCGGCCAAGAGGCGCGGTTGCTATGCAACATGCACACGGCCCTTCTCTTCGAAGAGGGAGATTCGGTTTGTAGCAAGGCTTTGAACTGAGCTTTTTCCCATGCCGATGGTCATTTCAGCACACCCACAGTTTACAAATTGGGATCCGCTTCAGTTTTGCTTCCTCCACCCTGACCACACTGGAAAGAACCAGTCTGAAGCCCTGGACCAAACCAGCTGCCCCTGGAGTCCATTCTGACTCATGGTGGCCTTGTGAGCATAAAAAAACCGCAACTACGTCCCTCAAGTTTTCAGTGGCCACCACCTTCTGAGGTCCTCGGTCAGGCCTTTCTCCCCACGTACCTCTGGGTAGATGCCAACAGCTCACCTGTGGGTTAAGAGTCTAGCGCTTAACCATCTGAGCTCCCCAGGAACTCTGGGAGACGAGGGGCCACTGATGGGATCAGCTACAAGTCCTGCCTCCATTAGACACACAAGGAAACCAGGAAGGCCGGAAGTGGAGGCGACTTGCCCAAAGTCACACAGCTACCCGTAGCAGAGGTGGGTCCTCAGACTCTTGCCCCCACGCGGCCTGCACAGCGGCGAGCACCCCTGGCATTTGGACTCCTGGTAGGGGATGAGGGCTAGCGCTCAAAGCTCCCCTCTCCACCGCCACCACCACCTTGTTCCACTTGCTAAACCAAAGGTCTCCACCTGGTCATCCAAATGGTCCTTGAAGCTCTTCCGGGAAGGTTTCCAAGCCAGGTGGCCCTCTTGGCTCCCAGATCTCCCTTCCCACCCCCATTAGAGAAAACGCTTTCTCAGCCCAGCACTCTGGCCTGCTAGGCACTTGGGTGACCCCAAAGCAGCTTCTTGCTGAGGGAAGGCTGCATCCTGGCTCCCCCCTTCACCCCCCACCTGAGCCTCACCAGGAACCTCAGTACTCTCCTTGCTCCTCCTTGTCCTACAACCTCCCTCCCCTCCCCTCTGCTCCCACTCCATCTGCTGCTCCTCCTGGCTGGCTCCCCCTCAGTTGGCACCGCAGGAAAAGAGAACAGGACGGTTATTTTTATCCAGAGACACTGCTGGGGGGAGCGGGCACCATCTGACCGAGAAGCCACAGGGCCTGCCACAGTGGGGAGGTCAGAAGGGGTGGGAGGCCCAGGACCCCCTGGGAACAGAGTGCCCTGCGCAGGTAGTTCTGGGGAAAGCAGCAGAGTAGAGAGTCCTGAAGGAGGCCCTGCCCCCCACTGCTGTGTGGAGGCAAGGTCTCTTTCCACCTTCAGAAACGAGGTGAGGGAGCCCAGTTCTATCTGCCCGGGGTCTGTTTTGTGGGCAAGCATCAAAGAACTATTTGCCACTACCCTCCCCCCCATGGCATCCCACCCCCACAGACACAGGGGATGCACCCTTGGGGGCCAGCAGGCTGGGGCCATTCTTCATAAGCCTCAGAAGTGGCCCCCATTCCGTGCACCAGAAACGGCTCGGGTCACCCAGCATGCCCACCCCCAGCTTATTACACATAGGGTGATGGTTTGTTGTTCTGTTTTGTCTTTAATTACATAAGCAATATGTGAACTCACGCTCCTTTTGGAGGAAAAAAATCATCATGAAGCATGATGGGAAACCCAAGAGTCATTAACCAACCCTTCCTTCCCCAAACTCCTTCCCCCGCCCCAGACCTGACCACACTAGCAGTCAGGAATGTCTGTCTCCTGGTAAAGCCTGCTCAGGCATACAAAGATAAGGTACATTGTGTCCACACACACCCTAGACAATGCACCAGGCTGCTATGCCGTACGTTTTAAAAAGCAATGTTTTCAACCCATCATTCTGCAATGTTACTCCACGCCCCACCGCCCTCTCCTCCCCTCCCCTTTGGATAGTGTCTTTGCGATCCTGTTGTCCACATTGTCGTTTTATCTCGCCAGCCCCCACCCCACCCCCATTGGGCAGGGAAGTGGCTCCTGATCACAGCCAGCATGTCGATGGTCCAGTGGGTGGCTGCCTCCCTGGGCACAAGGACCCCACCGTGCTGCATCGCTGGAGGGTTTGTGCCTCTGAGTTGTGCCTTCTTCTTCGAAAGCCGGTTGGGAGACCTGCGGCGGCTGCAGGTTGGCGAGAGGAGCCCTGGAGTGATGTGCGGCCTTGGACGGGACCCTCAGGGCGCAGACAGAGGGGGCGACACCTCACCCGCCCCCCTCCACCCCCACGGTGGACGCAGCTCAGGGCTCTGCAGCCAGGTGCCCACGGTGGTGGTCTCTCCGGGCACACACAGGCTCACAACCGCTCCTGCACGGAGACGCGACTCTCTTTGCCGTCTTCCTGTGTGACAGGCTGGCACCCATGTAGGGTCTCCTGCACTGGAGCAACCGGGTTGGTACCCGGAACATCCTCCAAGAAGATCACCTCCACCGGCTCCTTGCCTTTGTCCTCGGGCAGGGCAGCCTGCGGGAGAGGGGCAGGGGTGACCCTAACGGCAGGGGCATCCTCCACGAAGGGCAAGGGCCTCCCCTGATGCGACCCCCTCCCCTAACCCCTTCCTTTCCCCCCACCACCCAAACCAGAGGGTCAGTGCTGATTCTTTAGGCGCCTCCTGCCCCCTGCTGGCCACTGTGAGGGTGACAAGGAGCATCAAGAGTGGAAGCCAGAGGGGCTCCCTGTTCAGCTCCACACATTGACCCAAGCCAAGGCCCCACAGACCGGCTGGTGGGTTTAACGCCTAGGACGGAGTGAAGACCAAACACCAGCCTTTTCCCTGGGGGTCAGAGGAGGCTCGGTGAGGAGGGGGCTCTGGGCATGACAAAGGCTGGCCAGGAGGGAGTGGACAGGAGTGGAGGCTAGGGTGCAGGGGCGTGTGAGAGGAGCGAGTTCTGCCGCCCTGGACACAGGGCTAGACCCTGAAGGAATCCGGTTTATCCCATCTAGGTACCAACAAGCCAATCTTTGCGGTTGGCCAGAACTCTGCCTCAGCTGTGGAGGGGAACCTACCTTCTTCTTGGACTTCTGCAGTGCCTTCTCTAGGAGAGAAAACAGGAGAGAGGGGTTGGGAACCAGCGAGCGGTTCTGTTTTGTTCCTCAGCCTCCCCACGTCTCCATCACCCCCTCAGGACTCACTGATTATGACAGCCACCAGGAGGAGGGCCAACAGGGCTCCCAGGGTGCTGGGGATGGCCAGCAGGACTCTTGAGCGAGGCCAAGGACCTGGAGAAGGCAAGACTTCAGCAATGATCCCCACCACCACCCATGGCCACCCCCACCCTCATGCCACAGCGCTTGCCCCTTGGTGACTGCTAAAGCCCTTCAGCATCCTTGCTCATCCAAGGTCCCCAGGGGCAGGTGGTGGCACTTGGTAAACTGTGAAGGTAGATGTCTTTCAGGCGACTAAATGCACTGTCGTCGTGCGGATTTCCACTCATATTGGAGCAGAGAGCCTCGCTGAGCTCCTAAAGAGTGACTGGTGGGCTTGAACTGCCAATTTTGCAGTTAGCACTCCAACGTTTATCCCACAGCGCTACCAAAAAGAAAACCTCACTGCCAGCAGCGCGTTTCTGGTCCACGGCAATCCTGTAGGACAGGGTAGAACTACCCCTGTGAGGTTTCCAGGATTTGACATCTCCAGAGGAACAGCCAGCAGGCAGCCTCACCTCTCTCCCACAGAGCGGTTTTGAACCACTGGCCTTGTGTTTAACAGCTCAACATGTCACCCACTACGCCACCAGGGGTCCTTTTAATGTAACCAGTACAATTCAAGTATGCGTGCGTCTGTGTGTATTTGCCAATATTTTTCACTTGGAGTATTCCATATAAAAAATCTGGGTTAGCTGGTTTATCTGACAAATTTGGAAGCTCTGGCTCCCATGAAACCCATGCCTGGCAGCCATCAGCTCCAGTGGAGGAGTGATAGCCAGATGTCTCCACCTGTTCACCACACTCCCCACCTCTCCCTACTCTCTGCCCAGTGCTGAGGCCCAGCACCACTTCCATCTGCACCACTGCTTTTGTTGCCGCAGAAGAGAGGGGGAAGCGCCTTCAGTCTTGTATCCAAGTGCCCTTGCAGGTGGGAAAATGAAAGAAAGACCTAGAAGCAGGACACCGCTCGGGGAGGCAAATGAGAGACTCGGTCCGGGGCAAATGAAAGGGTGTCACAAGGATAAGGAGTCGTTTAGTGCAGTATTTTTGAAAGTCAGCAAACTACAGCCTACAAAGCTGGCTGCCTGGTTTGGTTTTGTTTTTTTAATAGCGTTTTGTTACAACCAGGGTCAAGATTGGGGTGAAGCAAGTAAGGTGGGACCATGCAGGCGTGTGGTCGTAACTTGAAATTTTGCTCATTGTGAGATGTGTGTGGTGTGTGTTTCCCATTCATTTGTGTGTGTTTTTAAAGTAAAAGCATTGATTGAAATGTTATTTATCCTAATTATTGTGTTTGGGGGCACTCCCTTAAATTATGTGTCCTAGGCAAATACCAAGAAAAAAATGAAAAAAAATTTTAAGAGAGCAAAACAGGGTGTAGATTCTTTCCTCCTGCCCTGGTCACTTCCTTACATGACCTTCCCAGTCCCTGTAGTTACTTGCACTTGTGAACCAAGCTGTAGACCAACCCTCCAATCAACCTACAATTCAACCCGAGGCCCTGAGAAGAGACCATGTCTCAATGTCCTGTACTTCAAGTGCAGGAAGGTGGAAAAGTAGGTAGGGAGGCAATTACAATAACTTACTGAGAGAGGTGCTATTAGTGTCCGGTTTTACAGAAGAAGAAACTGAGGCTCAGAGAAGTAACATGCCCAGCCTCCCCCAGATACGTGGTCTAACTAAGACACCCCCACCCCTAGACTCCTCTCCTCTTACCTCCTCTCCTTTCCCTTACCCTGTGTTTCTCTGTGCCTCAGTCTCCCCCTTCAGTTCTCGACCTACCTAACCTCTGCAAGGACCCATGGGCCAGGACTCACCACAGAGAGCATCGCTCATGGTAGTCCCCGCCTTCACTTCGGCCAGGTCTTGGGTCCTGCAGCTGTGCACAAAGCCACATGTCAGCACACAGGCACACGGAGAAAGACACACGAAGGTCCTCTAACCATTCGACGTCCAGCCCCAGAGGAAGGCAGTCCAACAGACTACAAGTCTGGGTTCACCGAGTGGCACACTTCCTGCTACATCCCACTCAGTTACTTGGGGAAGCCACGGACTCCTACAGAACTAAGAGTGAGGACAGAGACCACAGCCCGTAACTCCGGAAGGAGTATTACTGGGAGAGTCTGCGGCGCATGCCAAGCTTCATGACGGTGGTGGAAGTAAAGGAAGCATCACTCAGAGCGGTGACAGGTCTGCAGTGGCTGGAGCGGAAAGGCGATGAGGTTGGGGTCGGGCCACGCTTCTCCACCTCAGCACTACAGACACTTGGGGCTGAGACACCCTGTGCTGGGGACGGGCTGCCCTCTGCGTTTTAGGAAGCGGAGCCACCCCTGGCCTCTGCCTCACCACATTTCAGAAGCATTCGACCTCCCCAGCTCTGATGGCCAGCAAGTCTCAAGATGTTGTCCAGAGTCCCAGGGAAAGCAAAGCTGCCCCCACTGATCTAAGGGTACTCAGGAGACCTCCCCAGGGGTGGGGGGCTTTCGAGCTCTGAGTAGCCCTGAGGGTGTGAAGTTTACCATGGCATTCTCCTGCGAAGGAAATCGGGTGGGGAGATAAAGCCTGGCTTTAGGGGACTGTGGGACATTGGGTCTTTAGAAGCAGGACATTGATGACCAGGCATGGAAGTTTCACGTGAAGTCAGCAGGGAAGTCTTTAATCAGCATCTAACCAGACGACTGAAGTCGTTCACGACATGTCTTTAACGTTTCTGTTGGACCTTTTGTCAAATAACATCTGACAAAAAGGAGCTGAAGGAAAGGGGGTGGGGGGCGAGGAGGAGAAAGTACAGGCAGAGCGGCCAGTCAGGGGGCTCCTGCACGCGTCCAGAGATGAGATGACGAAGACCTCGCCTGGGAATAATGGGGAGGAATGGGCAGAGACAGGAAAGAGAGGGGTGGGGGGTCCAAAGCAAGTACCTGGCTTCACCTTACAGCACATTGGCCCATGTCTCTTCCTCAAACCCTGTAAGACCAAGGTCACTCTGTGTTCCAAATGAGGACACGGAACTCCAATAGGGAAGGGCATTCCCCCAGGGTCACACACTCGCCAAGCTGCAGTCGGAGTGTAAGCCTGCTCTCTGGTCCTTTGGCACTGTTCTATATTGGACTAGGTGCCCCCAGAATGTGTGTGGTCAATCCTAACCCCTAGCCCGTGGGCAGGGCTTCCTTCTGATGCACATCAATAGGATGCGTGGGAGCTGACTCACGGGCACCTGACAACAGCACACTGTGGTCACAGCCCCTTTTGGGAGGGGGTGTTCTTCCGTCTGATCATTCCACTATTTTTGATCAATGCTTATCAAAAGAAATAGCTGTTGATGGTTGTCAGGGGCAGGAGGGGAAGGGAAGAATGAGGAAGTAAGAGACTAGGGGATCCATAGTCGTGTGCTAAGTTGGTGAAGGGGAAGATCATATCTGACAAAGGGGAGATAGACAGGGAAGGGGGGGGAATCTAAAAATTATGAACTGATGCATAAATGCCCACCTAATTCACACTAAAACGTTTTCTGGGTTGTTGTTTTTTTTTAGGGGAAAAATCAGGTTTTAAAAATTCAGATAATACACTAATGGGAAAAAGCATAATGTAAAGCATGCAGTGGGGAAAAGGGTGTTTAAGCGCCTGCCGGGCAGGAGAGGGAGGCAAGTGAATGAATGGAGTGTGTGAAGAGTTGGAGGCGGGGTCTTTAGGCAGGGAGAGGCAGGGCGAATGTCAGGATGTCAGGAGACGGAGCCAGAAAGTCAGCGGGAGGTTTCCACCACCAGGCTAAGGAGCTTGGGTTTCTTCCTGAATGCCAGGGAACCACTAGGCATTTTCAATCTGGGGGTGTTGTGAAATGCGTTTTAGAAACTCACTTTGGCAGCAGGTGGAGAACTGCTGAAGGGGGAGCCAGCCACAAGGCTGGAGGGCAATGAGGAGCCTCAAATGACAGAGGTGGTGGTGGTGATAAGAAGGAGCCAGATCCCAACATATTTAGTTCAATGGACAGGACCCAGAGAGGAATTGGGGGGTGGTGGCTGGAGATGAGAAAGGGAAGTGCATTAGATGGGTGCCTGTAGTCATGGTGGTAAGGGGAGCCAAGGGGTGGAGTTCATTTTGGACACACAGAGCTGGAGGTGTTTGTGGTCATCCAGGTGGAGGGGGACCCACGAGACAACAGTGGGAGGGAGATCTTGAATGGGGCCATCAGCGGGAGGGGGTAGTTGAAGCCACAGGTGTGGATGCGATCTTCCAAGGAAGGGAAGAGAACTCAGAACATGGGCCTGGAAAACCCAGTGCAGGAGCTGAAAGGGGAGAGGAAGTCTGAAGAGGAGCAGGAGCAGGGGGAGAAGGAAACTCAGAGCAGGATCTGGAGGAGGGACCATGAGAGTCGGTGAGGAGGAAGGAGACCAACGGTGTGTGGTATAGGAAGAGAGAGCAGGCAAGACCAACTCTAGAGGTTGTCTGGGAGGCCCCTCTGTGGTGTTCTGCCAGTGTGTGCATGGAGAGGGGAGCAAGGTGGTGGGGAGAGGACTGGATACCATGGAGAGTGGACCCGTGTCCCTCTTGGGGCAGGGAGCAAAAGGGGATGAGTCCTCATACCTTGTCCAAGGGTGACACTTGTCATAAGCAGATGACATGTTGGAGAAGAAACCGTCCGGGCAGGATTTGCAGATGGTGTCAGAATTGCTTGTAGCTGGCATAATAGTGGGGGAGGAAAAAACAAAACTCAATACATATACATACATACATACATACATACATATATACACACACACATATATGAATTGTATGTTTATGTATGTATATATATATATGTAAGTGCAACAAAAAACAGATGGACTT